ACAAAAATAAAACTGCGACAGTTTGGAAGGTTATTTAAACATTTCCAACGACAAGAGCTGCAGATCAGCTGCAGAGTCCACCTGAGCGTCGGAGGAACAGGATGTTTAACGAGCTTTATTACCTGCTGTAATCAGCTGTTCCGCTTGTTGTGGAGAGGAGGAGACTTCAGCTCTGAGGAAAATCCTCCTGACTGATGAAAACAACAACTCCAGACTCAGTATTTAGCGTAACTCCATCAGCTGTTCGCTGTAAACACACCGCTGCACGCTGGCTGCTGTTTCCCAGCAACACATTTAATGTTGACGTCGGCGAGACTCGTGTGGCTCTCTGACTGTTGGTTGTGATTTATTGGTTTGCAAACGGTGGAAAAGAGAGGAGCAGTCTAGAAAAACAGGTGACAAGCTTGATGTAAAGCCTGTAGCCTCTACTTGCTCATTTGAATTTCGCTTTGCAAGGCAAGCCCCCCCTCCTAGTTGGGGGATTTAGTTCCTTTGGTGGAAACGCTGCTGTTAATTCTGTACCACAGTGTGCTGAGAGCAACGTCGTATTATTATTCTTTCACACATGCGGGTCTCTTTCAGTCCGTGGCCAGTTCACACTGAAGTCTGATATAGGCCACACTGAAACAATAATGTGAACAGGGAATCATTAAACTAATCAGATCAGCAGAGTGAACCTGGCTATAGAGACGGACAACCTTTCAGCTCACAATCACTCCTACCGGCAATTTAGACTCACCAATTAACCTAAACTGCAAGTGCTTGGGCTGCTGGGAGGAAGCTGAAAGAAAAACTCATGCAGGCACGCAGAGAACATCCAAGTAGATATGTTGTTGTATTAATTAATGATCAAATAATGATCAGCAGATTCTGGCTCTGCTGTATCGCCAGCAGCCACGATTGCAGCCTTTGATGCAGTTCGACTTGTTTCGCACATGACAGGTCGATGCAGTGAAGGTGTTGTTTACCTTGATGACCTGCTGGATGTTTCCTGGTTCGCTGTCACCTGCAGCTTTTTATCTGAGGCGCTCACTGTGGCTTGTAACGTTCCTCTCTTGCAATATTATCTCTTGCAAATCCAGTATTACATTTCTAAGACTTACATATGTGTTACTCATTACCCACGCTCCCCACGTTGCTTTGTCCCTCCACGGATTTCCTTATTTCATCATCAAATCTTATTAGGACTTAATCTCACCACTTTTTTTTGTTTGATCACCCACTACGTCATCTGTTCATTGGGTAGACCTACATTTAATTTCATTGTTTCCTTCCTGTCTGCTCCAGTCAGTATTTATCCTCATCCATTTATAGTATCATTTGTTTTAGTCCCATCATGTGACGTATCCTCATCTTTTCCCAGCGTCATTTTATCTGGTCTCCACATTTTTATTGCTTATTTATCACATAGACATGATCTGATAAATGTGGATACATTTAGAAAGGACTTACTTGACTTCATCTTTCTAGGCTTCATCCATTTTTATTTTCATCATTCATCACAGATTTAGAATCCTTATTCATTACTCAGCCTTGTAATTCATTACTTATTAATATCTGATAATGACACAGATTCAGATTCAGTGCAGGAGCAGCCCTTTTTCTCTCCTGCAGATTTTCTCTGTCGTCTCTCAACTAACTGAGAATCTGGATCAGATTGCTGTCAGTGTTTTATCTTGTGATCTCAGGTGAATCTTCAGATACATACATCACACAGAATTCCCCCCTCCGAAGGTTTATTTAAAAGCAGCCTGACTTACATAAGTTTGTAAAGCAGCTGCATGGTTTTAAAGGGGCAGAATCTTTATGAGAGCTGTGGAAAGCTTTTACTCAGGGGAGTTCCCTCCAAACTCAATTTAATTCTCAACTGAAATAAGTTACTGCAATGAAGCATAGAATTGAGCAGGGACCAGGCACAGCAGGTTACATACACAATGACATGTAACATTAAGGGTATTTTATCTTGTCTTCCGAAAATATACTGAACAAAATTATAAAGGCAATAAAAGGCCTCTCCAAAATGTGCAGTTTCACTGTATTGGGGGGGTCCGCAAATCAGTCAGTATCTGGTGTGACCACCATTTGCCTCACGCAGTGCAACACATCTCCTTCACATAGTAGATCAGGTTGCTGATTGTGGCCTGTGGAGTGTTGGTCCACTCCTCTTCAATGGCTGTGCAAAGTTGCGGTCAGGTCCGATGAGGACGACGAGCATGCGGATGAGCTTCCCTGAGACGGTTCCTGACAGTTTGTGCAGAAATTCTTTGGTAATGCAAACCGATTGTTGCAGCAGCTGTCCGGGTGGCTGGTCTCAGATGATCTTGGAGGTGAAAATGCTGGATGTGGAGGTCCTGGGCTGGTGTGGTTACACGTGGTCTGCGGTTATGAGGCCGGTTGGATGTACCGCCAGTTTCTCTGAAACGCCTTTGGAGACAGCTTATGGTGGAGAAATGAACATTCAATTCACGGGAACAGCTCTGGTGGACATTCCTGCAGTCAGCATGCCGACTGCACGCTCCCTCAAAACTTGCGACATCTGTGGCATCGTGCTGTGTGGTGGAACTGCACATTTTGGAGTGGCCTTTTATTGTGGCCAGCCTAAGGCACACCTGTGCAAGATTATCTCGCAAAGGAGAAGTGCTCACAAACACAGATTTTGACAGATTTGAGAGTCCTTTTGTGTACACAGAGAAAGTCTTAGATCTTTGAGTTCAGCTAAGGATGAATGGGGGCAAAAACAAAAGTGTTGCCTTTATATAGGCAAAAGTGTGATTTGCTGTTATGGTATACAATAAAACTTGACTTGATACAATTCCATTTGTTGCCTTGAAATAGTAGTTTTCATGAAGGACATCAACTACATTTGTTTTGGATTTAAAACATTAATAGAAACTTCTCAATGCAGCGTAATCTCTGTGCTAACTGACCCATTTTACACCTGGAATTAAAATGTGTTTTGGGTGATCAGATTGCAATCGGCTAAGGCTTGACCTGAAAGTACAGGTGTAAGTATGCCTATGATACAAACCACCTCCGGAGGTGGTCAGGGACGCATTGTGACCGCATCGTCAGTCTGTAAACAACAAACAACTACTGTGTTTTTGGTGTACGGTGAACTGAACTCGTCCATCTGTAAACGTGAAGTTTGGCAGTTTTGAACAGTCATAAATACTTTTGCTTCCAAATGTGGTTGAACGTGGTGGGATAATCTGAGAAAATCATTAGTTGGGTTGAGTGCGGGTGGATGATTTATGCGTACATGATTATTCAGATATTGTCAGAGCCAATCCGCATCACACCAGTGTAGCTCCTATAATCGTGACAAAACAGCGCGAACAGCTGCTGACGTCAAATTAGTAGGCTGCAATATCGACCAGAGCATTCAGGACTTACCTGTTGTATTTTATGTTGTCGTTTAGTAACAACAGTGCCCATTGAAAAGTTTCAGTCTGGTTTTAGGAAGTACCACAGCACTGAGACTGCCCTGCTTAAAGTCACCAATGACCTTTTAATGTCTGCTGATGAAGGCATGTGCTCAGTCCTGGTACTCCTGGACCTTAGCGCTGCTTTTGACACCATTGATCACAACATCATGTTAGACAGACTGAGGCACTGGGTGGGGATCTCTGGTACTGCCCTAGAATGGTTTTCATCCTACCTGTCAAATAGGAAGTTTTGCGTGTCTGTAAACAACTATGTCTCCTCGTTCTGTCCAGTTAAATATGGTGTGCCTCAGGGGTCGGTCTTAGGACCCATT